AGTTGGTCGAATACTTTTGAGCGCTACTCTACACTATGAGACTTGCTCTTCACCTAGTAGTTTGTAGAATCGGTCGGAAGTTTGGATGTGATTGTTATAGGCTTCTGAATCGCAAGTGGTCCCTGTGATTTTCACCTGTCAGATAAGAGTTAAGGAAGAAGTTGCGGAAAGATTTTCGTCCTGGCCAACCAATCGTTGCATAATTTCTGGCTAACCAATTGGTATCGGACTTGCCTGGCAGGGTAAGAGCACCAACTTCAAAATAGCCTGATTCAAGACTTCAGTTATCGTGTGGATTGGACCATCTCCTTCTAATGGCACGGCTACAGTATGTAGCTGCTCTTGGTTGCTACATTAGTGTCCATCGATGTAGTTTTTTTTTTTGAATTTGATCTGAGCTGACATCAACTACTCCTCAGCATCGATGTTGTGGAAATCAGGCAGGAATAGTTTTTGAGGACCCTTCTGCTCCTATAGCGGACTGGTTTTTGCGTGATGAACACCATCACTGATGGCCCAAGAAACATCCAAGAAGGTACCTGATTCTTGCATTATAGGTAAACTCTATCAATAAAGGGACCAATACGAGATTTGACTAGCTCGAGCTTGGACAGGGATTACTTCACCCATGAAAGTTTCGTAAGTCACGCAAGCCTACCGCAAATGTGAACGAAGGCTGCGAATGCAAAAGGGGAGAGAGTAGGGGCGGGGGTAGGCGGAATAAATGTTACCCAAAAAAGTTCCATATGGTTAATACCCAGTGACCAATGAATGAGCTCTTCCATTGAGATGCTGCACAAATTGCGTCGCAGTGGTTTTTGATTGCCATTTCTTCTTTGTTGATACACCTGCTCATAAACGGCGTTTTTTGTGATAACGCTCACACATTGTCACTACCGTAGCCATTGTGAAGAGACACAAAAAAGGAGAAAGAACGGAGTGAAAATTGCCATCAGCAAAAGGGTTTCAGAAATCTGGAAGAGTTTCCATCAAGCCTCAAATATTACAGGTTATCGGGTAAACTTGGTCATCCTTTCGTGCTAATCCCCAGATAAGTGGAACCTCCTGGAGAATCTGAATTTGTAGGACGCCAAGTTGAAGCTTCAGGAGATTGCAGGCCTTCGACTTTTCTCAACCATATGGTACTACTGCAGGACCTCGAAAAAAGAGCTGCACGATTAACGATCATTCTGCAGTCGACAGAACCAGTTTTGGAAATGGTTGAAAGAAAAAACAGTAATTAGTTTTGTGATTGTATTTTATCAGCACAAATGATCATGTAAGATCATATCATCAAGTAATGATTAGATGAGGTCTTCTGAGCAATATTGAAAATTGGCCAGAGAGCAGCACAGTCCTCTATAGCTTTTGCGAGTACTAGATTGGCAAATAGGTGATTGAGTTTTTTTCTAAGCACTTCAACCATTTATCCCTAAGGGTAGCCACCTGTTCTTTGAAGTGATTTATATTTATAAACCAAGTACTCGAGTATTTTATTGTCAACATATAACTGAATGAATATTTCCTGTTGTAAAAAAAGGTTATTGTATTTCTTGAAATATATGGAATGGCTTAGTCGCCGACCTGATATTTAAAGTAAAGTGGACCAAGAAAGTATATTATATTTTTGATCAATTTCTCCCATCGAAAGACAAATCAAGTAAGTGAACTTTTGCAAAACTTCCAAGTGAGATGCTTCTGATCTTTCAAGTAAAGTGCATCTGACACTCCATTCAAAAACTTTCATCAAAATTCTGACAATTCGGCGAAAGCCCGCTTTGTTTACAAGCAGTTTTTGGCCCTATAGAACCGTGTTGTATTTTTCGTTTTGCTTCTTTTCAGGCAATTAAGAATAACTGGAATATTAACTATTTTTCATTTCTCCTTTTGGAAGGATTTACTGAGAATAAGTTTGAGATCAGCCATTGTTTACACAACCAAAATCATCAGTGAATAGAAGGTTGCCACTGTATTTGAACAGGCGTGTGACCACCCACGGGCACTGGTGGCGATGATTTATAAAGGCGAATTTCTTGTCTTCAATCAAGCCAAGCCGATTAGCTCCATACTGGCTTCCCTCCATTTTTTTCCGAATTAAAGCAAATTCGTACTCCATTTTTACTTAGAGTCTCCAGAAATTCAACTGGCCCTTGAACAGTATTCCATAACCCGTAATTACAACTGAGTATTAGTAATTACTATCCAGAAAGTCAGTAACAAAGTGATCAACATTTCCTTCTACGATCACGACTCAGCCCCGGAAATTTCGCGAATTTCTGCTGATATTGCTTAAACAAAATTTCTTACCTGTTTTGACCATCAAGAGGCCCTAAATTATTTTCGTTAGCAGTTAAACTCAAGGAACTTGTCGCAGACCATCAAGAACTAAAGTCAGCTCTTTGTTTAGGTAAACAATGTTGTTTGTGGTGGTTGGTTGCTTGGCTTTGGCCACATCGGTTTCAGCTACAGCCTTCACTGACATGAACTGTACCAATGGCGATTCTGCGGCACCAGCGGTTCGTCAAAATTTCAAAGAATGTTTTCTATTGGGATGTAATCCATGAACTTCCCTCATGTAATTCACCCGTGCTGGGGAAACATGAACAAGATTATTGTGGCCAATAATCCATCTAAAGTCTAGTTGGGTATCAAGTTTCAATCGGATAATCCTCACGTGGGGCTTTCTGCTTTTGGATTAAACATATTCATTAAATACTTCAGCCAACCTTTCTTCACTGCTTACAAAGAGTAACTATTTCGAAACTTAGTAAAACCAGGCGGTTGATGTTCCTGTGTTTACAGAGTACCACTAAGCAGTAGGTTTCGGATGACCTCGAAGAATAATTTTAGTAACCCCCACCCCACTTCCGTACTGACGAGTTAGAACGCTCTACGAACGGACTTTTTCATGGGAAGGAGCAAAGAGCTTTTTCCTAAGCCTTTTGTGGCGAATCCCACCGAAGGTTGGAAGGTCTCCAAGCTCAAGCCTACTCACCCTCTCTTCCCTACAGATGATCTGGAACGATCTACGCAAGCTTCTTACATTTCAGTTCCTTCCATCTGCAACCGTTTGCGAAGACTTGTACGCAACAACAGCATGCGCTTCACTTTTCGGTACTGCAGTAGTAGCAGAAGGAACAACTGACAGAGACGCAAAATGTTTGACGGTATGCTACATGGAATTTCCTAAGTTTTAGAAGATTTTGTAGCATCTTTCCCATTCAGGATGAAGATGTCAAAGCGATCGCTATCGCCAGTTGTCCAAAAAGCTGCGGATATTGTTGCATGACACCTGAATACAAATGCAAAAACAAAGACTGTTCGTTATACTTTCATGTGTACTGTAGGAAACGGTAACTAGTAACTGATTGTTTCAGTTCCACGAACCAAGTGTGAGACTGTCACTCCTGCTCAGTGCAAGGACCCATCATGGAGGCCGATTCTTGCTGAAGATTGCCCGAATGTTTGCGGTTTCTGCCTAGAAGGTACGATTACATCGAACTTTTTTTTGAAAGATACTCAAAGTAATTACCTAGGAGGATGTGTCGACACGGTCATCGAATGCGAAAATGATCCAACCATCTGTAGGAATGTCGATATGCAAGATTTTGTTAAGGTAATGTTACCAAATCTGGCAGTCTCAACAGTTTCTCCGACAGATGTAATAGTAAGTAGTAATGTTAATGTGATGTTCAGGATAAATGTAAAAAAACCTGTGGTTACTGCGATCTAGCTGCAACATCTCCAGCAGCTACATCAGCCACAACAGCTGCCGGTGGATCGTCTGGAGGCGGAACTGGCAATTGCCCTAATGCCGTTGATGCGAATTCAAAGTAAGATGTAATACTTGTTCATTCTTTGAATAGTACTCAAAAGTATTCTATTACAGTTGTGCCAACTGGGTAAAAAATGGCTTCTGCACCAATTCTTTCTATACAGCTGAACAAAGAAAGCTGAATTGCGCGAAATCGTGCGGCGTCTGCTGAAAATCGAACTCAGGACCACCACACACGACCGGATCTCTGTAGATAGCACGACACAAAATTTTAACTCATTCGAGACGAATCTGACCAATTCGTTTTCCAGTGATAAATACATTTGATATCTCTTATCTTTGTTAACAGGCTTCTGAGAAGCTTTGCTAGTGATTTTTCTTACCAACAACATCATTATTATCTTTGAAAGCACTTCATTCGGTACACAAACAGAGCACAAATACAAGCACACAAACAAGTTATAAACATTTATCAAAAGTACAAATCTCTTCTTAGTTGGAAGCTGGCGTCAGGTCATTCTGTAAGGTAACGATCTTGGCTGCCGTAATGGATAGTACTGCTATAACAGATTTTTTTAATTAATTTACTTATTTATTTATTCATTTATTTACTACATCAAAGGGTGTGCCATACAACACAAAAGCAGAGGCCGAAAGGCGATGATCCTTTGAAAACAGAAAAAAAAGAGTATACATTAGCCTAAGAAAAATTGAGGATAACGCCAGAGTTGAACTAGTTATACGCCTCACTATAAGAAAAGGGGTAACTGCGAGAGAAAGAGAGACGGAAGTAAGAAGCTAGCATAAAATAGCATTTGTGGAATAATGTTGGGACCTTTCTCACATGAACATGAAAGCTGTTTCCCCTGTGAAAAAAACGATTCTTCGTGTTACACTGACCCATTATGCCAAGAGAGGCTATAGCAACTAGGGCTTGCTGGCAACAAAGCTCAATACGAAACAAACTGAATTCGAGAACCACAGGCGAGTAGACGAAAAGAGGCTTCAGGCGAAAGAGTTAATCGTCTTACAGAATCCTCAAACAGCCAGCACACGTAAAAAAGGAAGGCTCAACATAACCGAAAGCATACACCACCTAGCCGGCTTCTTGCTCAGAGAAAGAGAAGGTACAGCAGCAAAGCAGAGGTGAAGTAAATAAATGGGCAAGTTACCCGAAACAAATCTAGAGCAATAAAGCTACTAAAAACGGCAAATGCCGCTAAGAGTAAGAAGAAGTAATTAGAGAGATATGGACGATGAGCGCTCTACAAAACAGTATAAGAAACGAGGAATCTATAGGGAGAGGTAAACTGAGAGTGGCTACTAATAATCTAGCTCAAGGACTGACAGACAACCTCACCTCTTTCCGAAGGACGCAAAAACAGAACACTAAGTCAGACATTACTCGTCGATACTGCAAGGAAAGAAGAGGTAGCAATTTTAGTCGAACACGGTACGGGAAAATGGTTGCAGCGGGCCTGGTCTCGTACCACAGCGGTCGATTAAACACGTGTTGAACTCTTTCAACTTTTGAATACCTTTTTCGAGAGAAGGGCACCATACTTATGAGGAATACTCTACGCTTGGCAGCACATATGCTTTGCAGAGACGCAGCAGTATAGATGAATCGGAACATCTCATATTTCTCATTATCAATAGGGCAGCAAAGGCTTTCTTAACGGCACTGTCAATGTGGCAAGAAAACATCAAGCTAGTATCAAAAATAACCCCCAGATCTTTAGTAGACCTCGTTTTTGGAAGAGATACGCCGAAACGTTGATATCATCGGCATAAATTTGCACGTGAACTTCCTCGCAGGTTCTGAGAAGCTGAGGCACTTCAATTGTTTAAACCAAAAAAAGTAGTGGAGACTGAACTCCGCCTTGCAGAACGCCACTGGTACAAGCGTAGCTATCAGAGAAACTATTGCCGACACGAACAGTAAAACTTCCATCAGAAAGTTATGACCACTTCAGGGTGTTACCTCGAATACCGTATCGCTCCAACTTACTGATCAGCTAGGGATGACAAACTTTATTGAAAGCTTCCGAAAGGTCAAGGTGGATAACATCTACGGATTTACCATTGTTGATGGCTCGGCATACATCATAAAATGAATCGAGGAGGTTGCTACAGGTAGAGGCCCCAGGAAGGAAACCATGCTGCTCCTCGGGAATGAGGTAAAATTTTTAAACAAGGCTAGAACTTTATCAAACATCTTCTTCTTCATCACCTTAGCAGCTGTGGAAGTGAGGCTCGTAGGCCTATAATCGTTAACTCTAACGGCTATTAATTGTTTAGGGATGGCAGTCACAATTGCTCTTTTTCAAAGCCTGAGAACCTCCCCTAGAAGAAACGATATGTTGAACAAGTGAGCAAGTGGCTTGCATAGAGAATTGTAGCACTTCCTGAAAAGAATTTGAGGTATACCATCGAATGACTGACTAACGAATGGTTTCAGTTTTTTCAATACAATACGAACATCAGATGGGTGAAAATTTAGCAAGGTAATGTAAAGAACATATACGACTGTAATCCGATCATCACACAGATGAAAAAAATGAATAGAGATGAAGCCCTGCGACACACATAGAAAGACGCCACGGAATGAGGAATTACCATAACGAGAATACGCGTCATCTGCCGTTCAAAACCCAAGTTGAATTATTATTATTCAAAGAAGACCAACTTCCCGCCACTACAACACCCTTCATGCGAATCCAGGTCTCCATTCAAATAATCATTATTCAAACTATTCAAACCAACCCCTTCCCGCCACTACAGTACCCCGCTGCCTGAGAACAAAATTCCTACAAAACCCTCCATTCAAATCCGCGCCACTACAGTACCCGCCATCCTGTGTATCATCCAAACACGCTCAACTGGGAACCGATCAGCGACTGTTATACGGCAGACAATGGTTATGAAGGGAAGTTTTCATCGCGGATTGACAAATATGTCATTAGACAGCATTCTTTAAGGGCATCTAGCAGTTTACATTTCAGTTGCAAAGAGGCCAGTGAAAAAATAAAGCATTTCCATGATTTGGGCGTAACGATGAGCGAAGATTGGGGCTATACCAAGGGAGAAACTCCGATCTATGATGAAGTCTACCATAACAATCTTGTGAAGGACAGTGAGTTGCTTACGATAATAGAGTGCCTTCAGAGCCACCTCCTCCGATTTTGACGAAAACCCCTTACAAGGATTGAAAAATGCCCAAAAAACGATATGTCGTACTCTAATTGGAACATGCAAGGAGGATTGTTAAGTACCGTGGATGCAGTCATCTACTGCACAATAGAAATCAAAACACTGGAAACTGGGCAAAACTAACCAATCATTTTCACATTGTAATGGGTGGAGTCGAGTTCGTGGGGCACTGTAGAGCGATTTCCGGACCCTTTATCCTCTCAGACACCAGCTCCTACAGGCACTAAAGCGTGCGCAATATGTACATACATGCGAACTTTTCGGATGGAACTCAAGTTACTAACGGAGTAAAGCAATTTCAATACTTCAGAGTAAATGCTTATAGAATTTGACAAATTGAGGTTGATGGTATCTTCAACTCCTGCAAAACTCCACTCTGGACCGAGTTCTGGAGAAAAGACGAAGGAGACGCGAGCTCTCGGTGTTTGCGTGATCGAGTTCTTACGGAAAGTACTGTAGGATTACCGAGTTTTGGAAATCGCCGTTAAGTGATCAGAAATTGTATAACTTTATAAGCGTCCATGTTCGACTCTCGATAAATCTTGGCATAGCTTTGCATTAATTTTATAAGATTTTAGTAAAACCTGCTGCCAAGATGGTAAATAAACTCTTATCAACTTACGTTTCGGCGTTTATCGCCTTCTTCAGAGTTGGAAACCTGAAGATAATCGCTATCCATCCCACATTCAGCAATTTAACTTCAAAAACCGGTTCCCTAGACCTAATGTTTCCAAATGGGCATGATAACCCTTAAAACATTCAACCCACCTCCAACAACAACCGGTCGTTTAGACGACCGCCGCTAAACTGACCCATAGGGACTGGGGGTGGCTTTAGATGATATGCCCTATGATATGCCCTATCCCTCCCGCCGTGATTCCGGAGCCATATAAAACCCATAGAGGTCAGAGAAAGGCGCGAGTTCACTAGCTACGACTGAGCACTCCTTCCTATTCATTTTTGGAGATCTGGCGTTGATGAAAAATGCTTCAAATGTTTTCCGCGCCGAAATGAGGGGTTTTCGTAAGAGAATCCTAACTGTAATTCCGAACACAGCACCTTCATGGGATTCTACTTGGTGAGCACCCAAAGGGGTCTCCACCCGTGCTCGATTCAAACCGTCTAGGTGTTCCTTGACCCTAACGCTCAGAGGTCGCCCAGTCTCCCCTATATATTTTTCCTCGCATAGATTGCATGTGATCAGGTAGATCACGCCTAGTGTCATGCAGTCACCTTCCTGTCCATCTTGGCAGATGACGCAATAAGGAGTCAGGCAAATTCGGTCGCAGCAGTGGTTTCGAGCCAGCCGCTGCTTAAGATTTTCGGGTAGGATCTCGACCCCACGTACCATGTCCTTTAGGCCACACCTGTGCAACGCCGCCCTCATTTCACAGCTCACAGCATCACTAATATAGGGGATAGAGAAGGCTACTTTATCCAAACTAGCGATGACGGGGCCACGTTGCTCCTTTTTACATGATCCATAATTGTTCTTAGGAGCTAGAGGGTAACCATTGGAAAGTGCGATCGTTCTTGCAGGCTCCATAGATTCAGTTTTCTCCTGCCTTCCGGATACACCAATGTCGCCGTTTTAAACATGTTACTTGTGATAGCTCGCTTCGCTTTGAAGGGATGCGCCGAATTGAAGTGTACCAAAATGTTCTTGCTACTGGGATTTCGATACCATTTGGTACGGTAAAAATCCCCTTCAAGCCTGACTTGTGTATTGAGGAAAGGAAGCCAATTATCTTTTGGCTTCTCACGTGTGAATTTAATGTTCTCTGCTTGTCTGTTGAGCAGATCATAACACGTGTCCATTTCCTCTTTCGTAGAACAGGCGACAAAACAGTCGTCTATGTAGCGGCAGTACACAATATGCCGGCGATCCAGTAACGGTTTTTCTATTTTGGACATATAGGCTATGGCTAGTACGGGTGCCAGCCGCTGCCCCATGGCCAGTCCCCTGATCTGCCTATAATATTGCCCGGACCACCTAAA